AACCAATTGCCGAGAACTAGAAGTAAGCTAATTTTTTTTTAAGGTTTAGAATCTCAAGATTTCGAGACTTACGAACATTCAGCAAATTCTAGAACTTGGAATGCTTGAAACGGAGGCGGAAACGTATATCAGTCTTAAGGCAGAAGTTAACCGAATCCGAGTTGTACTGCCTGTGTTGGTGTTAGATTAGATTAGATTAGAAGTTAAACGAATCCGAGTTTTCTTTAATGCATCAAAGACAAAATACATGAGAGGAAGAGGTTGGAGAGAAGTTAATGTTAGCCAACCATCACGAGATCGGATAGATGGCGATGAAATCCAGGTGGTCGAAGGGTTCGTGCATTTGAACTAACTAGTGACCACCGATAATGACACCAGCTGGACTCCGATGAACGCTCCTGTTCGTCGCACCACAAAGTTGAATATCTAAAGCATGGTTCAAAATTAAACAACATCAATTGTATGTATTTCGGATTTGGATGAACATATTAAAGATCACTCAAGGTTTGGATTAACATATCATCGCTCAAGGTATTCATTTACCTCCCGACGATAATAGGTAAAGAGGTGCCGAAACCGTAGTTATCCCTATATTTCAAGGGAAATATCTAGATCAACATTTGAAATAAACGGAAATAATTGCTTTAAATGCAAATTTCTCGCTAACCAAGCCACATCATGCCGCGTTAACGTTGGCTTAATTGTTCAAGAAATTCATACGTTCAATTTGGTTCCCACCAGGTCATGAAGTTTTCGAGCATGGCTTCTGACCATATTGTCCTGCATAAGGTTCCGATTCGATTAATTGTATGCTTGGCAGGACTGGAAGCATTCCCGGAGATGTAATTACACACGATACTGAGGGCTGCACCTAAGTTTTTGATCAAATGGTAGTTTGGGGTGCCAACCCATCTAAAATGTCTTCATGACGTTCTGCCACTGCACACGGTTGACAGCACTACTCCGATGGTTGTTTTCCCGAATGACACGCTCACATGATCGTAAATCCCCAGCTCGATTATCGTTGAACGTTGTCCCCCGCAAGCGACATTCGTACCTCCACTGCCTGTCCATTTGCATAATGGAAAATTAATCCCTCGGAGTTATGCATCCGGGCAGAACGTAAAATTTGTTTCAGATTTAAATTTGATGAAGATCGCCTTCTCCTCCGCTGTACGGTAGTTTGCATCCATGTCAACTGGATTCCAGTTATTTTACGAAATTAGCCATCCCACCCATGGTAGACTTCGCACATCCATTTGGATAGGCAAAACAACTTACTTTATTTCTACCATTATTATGTTTGCTTTCAACAGCGACGACCTAGCGGTAAGCGGTAAGCGGTAGTAGTAAGCGTGATTGCCTCTCACCCCAGCAGGCCTGGGTTCAATCCCAGTCGGCGCCGCCGAGATGTTCCGAGGCACAACATCTCTGAATCTCTGATCACGACTTCCTTCGGATGGGAAGTAAAGCCATTGGTTCCCGGGTCATGAGTTGATGAGTCGATAGGTAGAGTCCAGGTGTGGGAGCTGCCTCCCTGGCGTCGGTAGCATTGGTGCTCAGCATGGAAAACAAGACCGAAAGAAAACAAATCAAGGAAAAAAAAACTGCGACGACCAAGGTACTGACCAAGATGCAGGCGATGAACAAAGCACATCAAAAGAAGTTAACAGTTGATCGACACCATGAAAAGCAACTGCTGCAGCTTCGACAACTGAGAGCAAACTGAGGGTACCAAGCAGTTTAGCAATAGGTCTAAAGCAACACTATATCACCGCAATTATTACCATTGTTCAGGTGTTATCTTAGTTATTAGTATCCCACTGAGTTTCAAACTTCCTAAATTCCCTCCTTTCCATGCTCCACCGTCACTGGGAGTATGTCGTAGCCGCCAACTTCCCCAGGAAAAACCATCCATTCCGGGGTGGAAATGAAATGATAAAACTTTATAATTGTTCCCAAACAGCCAGCAATTATGTCATCACATCTGTGCGAGCGCATTCTCGACAAAATTTTCTTCCTCCGGTGCGGTGGCATGAGATACAGCATCAACGACGACGTCAGAGTGACGATCTTGAGGATGTCAGGATGCGCCACGGCAAAAATAACATCACCGCCCTTGGGGTTGGTGTAGCAATTCAGGAGGACTTGTTTCAACTTTTCATGTAACTTGCCGTTCGTTCTTGAGCGTATGTGAGTATGTTCTTTAATTGCTTCGCAAACAACTACACACTGCTGCAGGAGTAGGAGCAGCAGCAGTGATTCCCTTATTAGCCTAATTAGACGCAAAAGTGTCTGCTTCCTTTCCGACTGAACGGAAATTGATATCTTATATCAGTTTGAGTGAAAGCGATGAGATTCTGCTTGCACTTGGAAACTTTTGAGTTGGAAACTTTTGATTGCTACCGAGAATGGAACGCGAGATGGAACGGAGAAGGGGCCGGTAGGGGGATGTGTACCATTGTGCTGTTACGCTGAAATTCCGGCGAGAAATGTTTCCACCGATCGAAAAACGACGTCGCAATTAGTATACTTCATCTCCGCATTTAACGCCCGTGTACCTACCATCTTTTATCGTGGGCGAAAATGTGATCTAAATTTTTTCTTCTAGGAACGACCCATTCTAAGGGTCCTTTTTCTACTAAAAGTTGATCGACCCTCCTCCGTCCGTCCGGCCGTCATCAGAAATGGAAAACTTTTCACGAGTATTTTACGGAAGAATGATTTTTGAAAAGAGATTTATTGAAAGAATGTATCTATCTACCGGTGGTGGTGAGTGAGTGGGTGGGTATTTCTGATTGTGATTCACTTCGGTAACCCCTTTAATTATACAGCACTTGACATAGCTCACAACTCATCCATGGCATCGGGCGTACTGTGTTTGTGTTCCCATTCTGTGTCGCTTTTGGACTAGGATGTTATGAGTATGGATCCACCGAAGATGATGATGAAACAGATGCTATTCCTGTATCAACTTTACGTAGGGATGTTCAGTTTTATGTATGAAATGAAGCTTGAACCTAATGGACAACCCAAGATCATCAGTTGACATGAGACTCCAAGGACAGGAAAGAACTTTAACATTTATACATATTCAGAAGGCATCCGCAGAGCGTTGCAGACGTTGGATGGGCGTTGACATCGCTGATATGAAACTTGAGCTTTTCCAGTAACATGAAAAAGTCGGTAAAAGGGTGATTGGTATAAAGGAACGGTATGCGAAGAATCGGAGATATTTACCGATGGGAAGGGTGGCAAAGCAATAGCCTCGGGGCATTGACGGAGAGGCGAAGGTTTTCCAAAGTTGAAGTTTTTCTTTCGCTTCGACGAGTGGGAGTCATGCCCAAAAGCGAGGACAGTTTTCCTTATTTATGAGAGGGTTCTTTTCATCAACATAATCATCATCATCGTTGTATACATCACATCGTTGTCAGATGTAGTAGCAGCCGACAGGACAACTTTAAAAGGGTGAGAGTTATGGAGGCAAAATTCATGCGGGCAGCGGCGCTAGGTACTGAGTAATAATTGTCTTTCAGTGTTGTTTATAGAAGTAAATTAAAATCCGTGTGTATAGGGAAAAAAACTATAATTGATCCATGTAGCAACACTCTTTATATTTCATAAAAATTGTCCAATATTGTGAGGCATATTCAAAGTAAAACGAGTCAATGAACCCACAAACCCGTCCTTGGGGTCTACATCGCTTTAAATTTGATCGGACGCTTATCTAACATCTAGGCGGGATGTCTAACCGGGATCCTTTTTCTGGGTTAATTTTGCCATATAAAAATATCTGTTATCTTTTTTTAATGGTGAAAATGGCTATTTTTGGTTGCTAATAAAAGATTGAATGCTAATTGGTTGTTAATGAATAATTGTGAAAATTTTGTATATTTATTCGAAGAAGTAACAATCGTACCAATATGCTATCAAAACAATCTGTTTTACACACGGAATCGTTTTCAATTACTTCCGGTGTGCCAAAAGGCAGTGTGCTGGGACCATTAATCTTCGTTTTGTTTGTGCCCAAGCATTTCATTCTTCAAGCAGTTGTTTGCCGATGACCTGAAAATCTATATAACTATAGCTTCCGTTCTCGACTGTCTTGCACTTCAGCACGATATTGACAATTTGTTGCTTTGATGTAATTAAAATGAAATGAAAGTATATATATAAAAAAAAGTAAAATAATGTAATTTTCTCGTTTTTTTTCTCTTGATTTGTTTTCCGTGCTGAGCACCAATGCTACCGATGCCAGGGAGGCAGCTCCCACACCTGGACCCTACTACCTATCGACCCATCAACTCATGAACCGGGGACCAACGGCTATACTTCCCTGAGGGAAGGCGTGATCAGAGATGTTATGCCTAGGAACATCCAGGCGGCGCCGACTGGGATTGAACCCAGGCCTGTTGGGGTGAGAGGTAATCACGCTTACCACTACACCACTGGCACCGCTTGTCATTTTCTCGATGCTGCGCCACTATCAATCACCAGTACACTTTGTAATCTGTGCCGTTGGAACGAGTCTCTTCAATTCTCGATCTAGGGGCTACGATGGACTCCAAAATTAGGTTTAACGATCATGTGGCAATAGTAACATCGAGAGCATATGCAGGACTGTTGCAAGATCTACAAAATTTGATCAGCGAAATTTGTATTACTACTACATGGCATTTCAAGCCTATTTTTTATAACATATTAGCACGCTTTCCCGGAATTCCCCCTGAACTTTGCTGAAGACACAAACCTTCCCTGAGGGGCTATTAATTAAAACCACGATTTGGTATTTTCTCGGCAACTGTGAGGCACAATTCCTACAATGCTCAACAGCTAATAACAGGTAAATAAAAAAGTACCATTCAATTCACATTTGAAAATAAAAACAAACACCCCTGATTGATTACTCCGAAGGAATTTCTTTAAATAGCATCGCTTTAATCCTGGTTCATTAATTTGAACTCTCAACCTCCCCCTCCCAAAATGTTCAGCAAACCTACCTTGCCCTGCATGATGAGCCGGATGGTGAGCGTAACTGCCGGATCGTCGGACAGGTTGATCTCGGTGAGCTTAGCCTTGGCTTCCTCCATTGCTGATGTTGCTATTGTTGGTCCTGTTACCGACGTTGATAGAATTTTCACCTTTTCCGCTTGCTCGCGCGTTGCAAAAACTTGATTAATTAAAAATTTTGGAAACTTTCTTCCTTTCTCGCGCGCGCGCTCGTCTCGCGTTGACTTGCGTATATTGCTTCTCGCTCTTTCCTGCGCTATTACTCAACCGGGTATGTAAACGTCGCACTTTTCTTCTGTTAAACCTTTTTATTTGATCTTCTTTTTTTTTTCCTTTGCACTCTTTTCTCCTTTTTCACTGGTGAACCGTTGTGTGTTATTAGAAAAGGTTGTATGTTGTATGTATCTCACGCCGAAGGATTAAGTAAATTAAAACGCTTTTAAGAAACGCCAAGGAAAGAATCGAACCTTTTTGAAAAGGACCTGCTGAAGAGGGGAAGGTGAAAAACGTGAAAAACGAACGGACGGTTGAAAAATGAGAGGTAAATACGCGAGGATCGTCACTTTCAATTTACCCGGCCGCTTGTTTTCAATCAAACCAAATTACGCGTAGCGAGACGGTTTTTCCATTTTGATTCGCGGTTATGTTCTTGAATTGTACCAGAAGATCCTGAATCAGGGTTACCAGATGGAAACTCGGAATTGAAAATGGAAAGCTTGAATGTTAAAATCAAATTAATGGATGACGATGATTGACAAGTGGCTTGCAAATGTTTAAATCCTGCTGGTAACCCTCATTGAAGGATCTCCCTAACGCAAATCGCATAAAGCAGAGAAAAGATTGGTTCCCCCTTGGGCAACGAAAATTCGGACCGCTGTTTTTTAGTAGTAGTAATGGTAGTGGTGGTGGTGGCACGAGTTCTTGTTTTTTCCCAACAAATTGTTATGTGTGTTCCTTTGGAGTGTTCTTCTACGCGAGGGACTAGCTCTCGGAGGTGCAATATACTAATACACAGCACACGACGGTGGTCGACACTTGAGCTTCGAGCTACTTCTTGTGAGCAGGTAGGGAGAGAACGCCCGGAATCAATTAGGTCGATGTGATATGAATACCAAAATCTCGGATCTTGATATCCTTTCACATTGGCGCGTATTGTACGGAGACGCTACAACGCACGCACACCAACAGTCACACGTGGTTTCGGTTCACACAGTCTCGTCTATCTGTAGTGTGGTGTTATAGGTATCGTACACCACTGGGACCGCACTGAAGTGTATCAATTGCCTGCAAGTGGAGAAGAAAAACAAACAGTTAGTGTTCCGTTGTTGCTGGTGTGGTGGATTCACGCTGAGCTTGAGGGCGGGAGAAGTCGAACGTGATGTCAGTGCTGTTACTGTTGATGTTTGGTATTATAGTTGGGGGTAAATTGATGGATACGAGCGAAAATGATATTATTTGATGAGGTAAAGTGATATTTGCCTTTTGATCTGAGAGACTATTACAAGTAATCTAATTTTCTGTCAGTGAAGGGAGCACTGATGAAGATGTTGGTACAGCAGCAAATAAAAAACTAAATCAAATTAGAAGAAATAAGTTATTGAAATGCCAGTAGACAGGTTAACGAATTAGATCATTTGAATGACACACGTGACAATCACCAGCTAATTGACCAGTTTAGCTTTTCGAAAAAGAAAACTTATAAACGATAAATTTATCCGGAAATTATCTACAAATCTATCCGGAAGGGTGCCAAAAATTAATTCAACAATTTATGAGCATGATGCGCTTCAAAGCATTACCAAATGTGCCTGAAAATAGAAATTATCTTTTAAACTTTTATGGAATTTAAATAAGATTGAATGATTGTTCTTCAAGCATAGGATTATACGTCAACCCTTGAAGCTTCTCAAGCACCATAGAAATAATTATTTTCTAGTAAAAATTGTGGAATTTCAATCGAGCTAAGTTAGGGTGGCCATCTTACCCCACTTTCCTTTACAACTTGAAGTCGCCAGTTAAAAAACGGCATGGCTGCAAGTTCAGATATTCCTTAGAAAACTTCTCCTGAAACACGATGAAAATTTCATCAACAATTATAATAGGGATCCAGGGTGGCAACTAAATGTCCTTTATTAAAATACAGGTTTTTTTATTGAGCCTTCCAAATAAACGAACTAGATAAAAAATACAGGGTTTCTCCAGTCCAGGTTTTCCTGATCAATAGTTCGAAAATTTCCTGGTTTTATAAATCATGTTTGAAGCCAACAATTGAACATTTGCCATAAGAACACTTGAATGCTTCTGTCAATTTTATAGGAAATTCATTTAAATTTCCGCAAATTATTCATGATTAAAAATTCAATGTGGTTTACCACAAATTTAAACAAAAAGGATTCTGCACAGTTTGTATCCCAACATAATTTTAAAATCTGATATATTTTTTTATAAGATTTTATATCAACGCTAGGTCAATATTTATGTTTCTGTATAAATTATTAAACTATTTCTAAAATGTAGTTCTTGAAACCCAATTGTTATGTTTTAAACATTAATCATTCATCAGCACCTCCAGATTCCCCTCAGACCAGTAAAAATAAAAATCGATCATTTTGCATGCAACGTTATTAGTGCTGGATTTAACAATAGAATAGCACATGGAACTTTGAAAAATATCATTTTTTTTATCGTTTTCTTGCCTGAGCGAAAACAACTCTGCAAGATCAACCCTAGCGCAGGAATCCACTTTGGTCTACTTTAGGATCAGAAAGTCTTGCGATTTTCACTTACTTTATTCTTTACATGATGCTAAAATATAGCTGCTTGGATGCTAAAAAATAACTGAACGAGTATTGATTCTACCAAGCAAATAACTGCTAATAAAGGCTGTACTAGAAAAAAGTGAGACACATTGATTAGTTTGTAACTTTTTGACTTGTGGGTAAACATTGATGAAATGTTGACAGAAACTAGCTAAGAGAGTAATGTTTACGCTGGTCGAATTTTATCACAATTTGTCAAATGGTTATCGAGATGGCATCGGAGCAAGAGCAGATCCACCAAAAAAATGTTGTGGGCCGTCTTGGAAAATCCGACTGCGTCCCACAAAAGGAACGGGAAACACCTGAGAATCCATCAGTCAAAGATTTCCCGCTTGGACAAATCATTCAAGGAAGCCCAGACGAACCAGCTGCGGCAGAAAACCGAAGACAGCTGACCCGATGAAGGACAGGAAGGTGTTGAGTTTGTTCAAGCGTCGGCCAAATCTTTAGATCCGCGATGCGGCGAAGAAGGCGGATGTTTCCATCTGGTTTGTTCAAAAAACGATGAAACGGTCCGTCATCCACGTCAGAAAGCACCAAACCGGAACGACAAACAAAACACGGTGGCGAAAACCCACGCCAGAAAGTTGAACCGGGAGTGGCTGACGAAACCGAGGTGCTTTGTGATGGACGACGAGACTTACATCACGGCGGACACAAAGCAGTTGCCGGGGCATGAGTTTTACCTTTTCTCATCACGGTTGGCCCTTCCTGAGGAGGTAGGGAAGAATAAGGTGGACAGATTCACCAAAAAGTTCTTAGTTTGTCAGGTCATCTGTGGGTGCAGCAAGATGAATCAACCGTACATCACGACGGGTACCATCAACGGGCAAATCTACCGGGAAGACTGCCTCCTAACCTTCCTGCGGTGTCATGAAGGCGCGAAGCTGTTTTGGCCGGATTTGGCATCCTGCCACTACGCGCGGCAGGTGTTAGATTGGTACAGAGACAACAATGTTGTTTTTGCACCAAAAGACGGAACTTCGCACGATTGGCCATTATCAAGGCCAGGGGCAAGGTTCGGAGTTTCGGTTATGGAGCGGAGATCCAAAAAGCAATGAAATAGAAACCTAACCTTAATGTTTTAGAATATTCCATGAAAGTTTGTATGTCTCTTTTTTTATTATAGTCACTTTAACGCTCTTGGGCCATTTGTGACTTGTCCGGGGGTGGGATTTAAACTCGTGACTTTGGCGTGAGAGATATGGCTGCTAACCTCTACGCCGGGGTCGCCCCCGTTTGTCTCTCTTTTTTTCGAGCACAGTCTCTAGACTCGTAACTGACAACAGCAGCAGCAGAACGAAACAGGTGAGAAACTGAAAGAATGTGAAAAACGTACTCATCGACTGAACAATAAGTTCAAAAATCAGTGAGTGAGTCGTTTTGGCTTAGATTCTATCCATCTACAGGAAAAATAAAATAAAAATCGGACAGATATATTTACGTTTTTTTTTTTTTTATGTTTGAAATTACTTAAAACGTTTTTTGCATTTCTTTTTTACTTCGAAAAAACAAAATTGAAGACCTGAGCCTTAAGAGAAGGGGAAGCTGACCGCGCCGAATCAAAACAAATTTTTTTTTATCAATCATTGGAAAAAGATATCAAAAATATGGTAATTAGTTATTACAGGTATACCTTGATATAACGTAACTGTCACTTTTGACATCCATCGTCGATGTTTCACAAATAACAATTCAGTCATGTAAATTGGCAAAATCAATAGATGGAGGATTGTCTCATCTATCCTATAGTGCTATTCAGGCATGGAAAATCATTTGCATTCATTTACTTACAGAATTCCACAAAATAATATATGACGCTTTTGTAGGTCTTGTTATTAGCTACAACTTTTGTTAACAACTCAAATCCGTATCTCTTATGCATGACGAACCAAAGCGAACAGAAGCCACTACTGATTTTCAATGAATGTATTTTACATTCACTGAAAAACAGTAACAAGTTCTGCCCGCTCTAATTCGTGATGCATAAGAGATACAGATCTAAATTGTTGACAGAAGTTGTAGCTAATAACAAAACCTACTAAAGCTCTATACATCATTTTGCGGAATGTAAATGATTTTCCATGCCTGGTGCTATTACATTGTTTGATTTAATGATCAACAATCAGCGATGAGAGTCAAAAGTGACAGTTACATTATATCGAGGTGTTGTGATTGGCACTGATGGTGAATTTCATCTCGCTTTGTAACCACAGAAAAAAAAAACAAAGCGAATCAAAACGCCTTTTGCATCTAGGCGAAATCGTCCGCAGTGTAAATAATTGTTTCAAGTCTGTATGTGCTTGATTGTAAATAGTTCTGTAAAATGTTTTGTATTCTGTTTTGTATTCTGTTTTGAATAGTGTTTTATATGAAGAATGATTTAATTTAAGCAATATGTTATAAAAGGAAATCACGGAATAAAGAACAATCTTTTTCCATAGTCAACCTTCCAGGGTGGCATGTTGCCTCCTGGAGGACCTTAAAGTAACCAATCGTTCATTATTTAGTCCGCTTGAAGAAACTTTCTGATAGGACGTGTGTGAAGTACACAACATAGGACCAAACTGTAACTGTAGTACGAATCACGAGGTATACCTGTATTTCTAAAATTAATTTTTTTTTTGCATCCCATCGTGGCAAAATGTTAGACTCAAAAAAAAAACTGAAAAAATCGATCGGTTGGGTTTGTTTAGTGTTCAACTTTTTTATGATGAAATAGAAAAATGTTATTACATGCAAATTTAAAAGGAATTCTAGTGATAATGCAAAGGAAATTCTGAGGAGAATTTTTATTTGGGCTCTACGGGGAAATTATAAGGAAGTTTTCACTAAAACTTCTAGTTATTTTTTATCTAGTTATTTATTTTCCAAATCTAGTTTTGATTTGAATTTCAAGGTGATTTTAGAAAAAAACGAAAAAAAGGTGAAGAGATTATTAAGGAGAATTCCAACATAGTTCTAAAACAAACTTCATGTTGAATATGAGAAGCATTTTATGAAGATTATAAGGAGAATTCTAGCTGAATTGTATAACGATTTCAAAGACAATTCAGATGAAGATTCTGGAGAAAACTATAAAGGGAATTCAGTGAATAAATTCAAATGAATACTAAGAAGATAAATTTCATCCATCCAGGGAATTGAGAAGAGCTTAAGAAAATGCTGAGAAGAATTGCAAGGGTTGTCCCTAAAGAATTTTAGGGAGTGGTTCAACAAAATTCTGAGGAAAATTCCCAATGTAGTTATGACTTGAATTCCAAGTTTATTCTAATATAAATTCCAAGAACTACACGCAGGATTCCGAAGCATCCTTAGTAAAATAGTAAGATGATTCAGAAAAGAATTCTTAAGAGAATGGAAGGAATTCTTAGAATAATTTTAAATGAATGCTGAGGAGAATTCCAAGAGAATTCAGAAAAGATTTCTAAGGGAATTTCTGAAAAATATCCAGAAGAACAGAGA